CGAACGTCTGGAAGAGTACGATTGGTCTTACCGATCGGCACGTACATATCCGCGGATATATTCGTACGCGTTTCTGTATCGAGCTATTCGTACACGATGAAACGTGCGTGAACGAAACGTGTGGGTCGCTACCGATATGATTTATGGTGCGACGTTACGACGTACTCGTGACACCACAACGTGTACTACGCGTTCCTTGGCCTGTCGCGTTTACGGAAACTATGTAATTTCCCTATACCGTTCTCTTTCCTTCTTTCGATATTCTTTTCTTCGTAAATATTTTACCAAGCCACACAGCTGTTTTCTCGTTTCCCGCCCGTGCAATGAAATGTAACCATATTCGAACGATCGATTTGCTGCTACCGTCGCGTCCGTGTTTCTCCAGTCAAACTCTATGCACGAACGTTCGCTCGGTTGCCTGCGTTTAGGCGCGCAACGCATCGCTCTTCGCCGTATCCTTTTCGTAGCGTGCCCTTCGCGTTATCGCTTTCAAAACGTTTCCGACCGATCGAGGACGAAAGCGGCCGGGACAAAAAGAGTTCTACGCGAAACACGGCATATCGACGACGCGATAAGGCAACCGAGGTTTAGCAACAATGTTTTCTACGTGAAAAAGGTTATACCGAAGCACGAGAGTCGAGGTAAATCGCGAAGTTACCCTCTAATCATAACCGCGAGTCTGACCGCAGTCCGGATGCAAGGAAGCACGTGTTGTGCCGGTTCCGCCAGCAGGTCGGCCAGTCTCGTCCATGGGCATTACGTATTCAGTGGCCAGCGCCATTTTGCCTCGACCATTTTTGCCGATCAAATCTTAATTGTTGGCTGGCGGCTGTCTAAGGAGGCGTGGCCACTGGTTGGTTCACTTTCTGCCACGCGATGCACGAACGCATTGGTTTTCTTCTTCCTTTTCTTCTTCTTCTTCCACTTCTTCTTCTTCTACTTCTTCTGTTTCTTCTACTACCACTACTTCTTTTTCTTCCGACTGCAAGCGGCACGATACATCGCGAGTCGCGACTTTCGAATCGTTTGTGGTACGTTGCAGTTCACCGGTTAAGACCTCCGCTCACGCTCGAATCGTTTCTGCTGCGCGAAATCGGGGATCGATCTTCGTCTTTGTTTCTCCGTAAGATCGGCTAAAGCTGCGAAATCGCGGCGGTAAACGGCGGCCGCCAACTTTTATACAATCGCGAAGGGTTTCAACGTACAACCAGTCTATGGGAAATAGCGGCGTAATTAAGGCAGAGCGATGCGAAGTAGCAATTATAGATTATCTTCGGCGCTACTACCGTCAAGTCGTAATAAATCCGTGAGGAAAGGCGGAATACGCGTCCTACGACTAAAGTACCGGATTTCTGGATTGTAAAGTTCACCATTACACCATTATACGTGCTTACTCGATTAATTTTTTACAAATTATTCGTCGAACGGCAACTGTTAAAGACGTATTAAGAACCTTTCCTATCTCGGTAATTAATTTTAATCACTGTGCGCCTGTATATACATAATAATAGCTTTCGCCCGTCTATAAATTAAAACGATGAAATGCTATTTACAGTCTTATAGATTTAATTAGCATATTTGTAAATTACTATTGTCCTATCGATCAATCACGGAAACTGTAATTAAAGGTTTACGAGTGTTTCAAGTTCGCGTAACACGCGTCGCAGTGCAATACGGTTGCTCGAACTCGAAGGTGCAATTGAATAATTCTTGACGAAAAAACGGGATGGAATCATAACTCGAAGCTGCACACGCGTCCAACGAATATCACGTAATTATCGCCAAATTAATATCGTGTGTAGCGCAATCGGGGTCGGTAGACGATGGAACGGTGCGCACTGCTGCTAACCTTCTCGCCATAATGACACGTATTACTCTGATTGGCAACAATTGGTAACAATTGACGGGCGGAACCGAGCCTGGAGGTTCCGCTATTTTGCCCGTGTTGTTTACGAGCAGAACTTCGAAACGTTACACCTTAATTGCGTGGCTACATGTTCAAGAAATTATCAAGGTTTCTTCTTCTTCTTTACTTCCCTACGCAATTAGTTGTTTGAGACGTACCTGCGGTGTATACTCCGACACGGTGTTATATACAATCTGGTTCAACTTGAACGCGTATAATTTAGAAGCTTTCGAAGGATAAAGAAACGATCACTCCCGTATTAACATCCTTTCGAGCATCTTCCTCGAGCGCATCGCGGGCTTTCTTCCCCTTTGAAAGCGAGGAAAAACCAGTCGTTTCGAATTAGACAATAATTACGAGCAACGTTATCCGTTAACGAGAAGGAAGTCTCTTCACGGTAAAGTATCCTCACCGGATTCGAATGATCCTATCATTTCGGAATTAACTCCGTTACGAATTTTTCCATTTGCTCGACCGAGCTTCCTGCGTAATTTTCCCTGGCAACTTTGTCCCGAATATGGATACGGGGATAGGAAGCCGCGAGTTGTAACTCGTTTCCGAACGACGCAACAACAGCTGGGATAAGCGAGACCGGTCGTTCTATCATCTTTCATTTGCCTCGTAAAAACGCGAAACAGCGGATGTAAACTGGAAGCAGCGTCGCGTTTTATGAGCGCGTAATGCAGCCGATAAACCTTACCGCGTATCCCACTTGTCGAGAAGTTGCAACGACGTCCTTTATGCATTGCTAATTTGTCTCGTTTCTTCGATTCTTGTCTCGAGCGGCTAGATCGTATCGGCAGATGGTTATAAATTCTACGGACTTGCAAAATTCGGAAAGAATAGAATCCGCGAAGCATCGACAATGTAATTGATAGTTCCGTATGTAGCGGTTTTTTAATTCGAAACAAAGGATATCGATTAACACCGGTGTCAATTAAGTCATCTCGAACGGTGATTACAGTGCGCGTATCGTAACGAGATACAACAATTTTATACACCGACTAATTGGCTTGTACTCGATAGTTTCGACGTTATTCGCTCGTAAACGCGAGTTCTGGGAGTTTCTCATTAAACGATCGTTTCTACATTTATTATCTCTCAATGCAAACTCTCTTCTTATTTCCCGTAACCTGTTATTCGACGCACCATTTACGATCCATCTTCATTTTTTATAGCAATAAAAGCTTATGGTACGCTCGTGAGCACCGCAACCAAATGACCGGCGAAACGTTACGATGTTACAATTGCCTCTAACCAAATGACAGGCACAAGAGGTGAGCGTTGTTTGAACAAAGATTTAATGCACCCTCTTTATTGGTGCTTCCTTTCGTTTCGCCAAACGAGGGGTTATTATTTATTCTCCTCGGTCGATAAGAAACACACGAGGATTTTTCTCTAAATACGGATTAAGCCGATCAGGATTCAAATACACGTCTATTACGTAATAGTTATGAAACGACGTTGTTATATCCTTTTACGATCTATCAGAGTTGATCGTGCGCAAATAAATCTTTGAACAACGAGGAGCGCGTCGGTCTTTCGATGGAATTAGTAACGCAATCCTTCAATTCGGTGTATATCTAATCTGGCGAAATTCCTATAATTTGTCGGCCTTTAATACGCTTTTTATCGAAACTGTCGGCCAATAAGGCCAGCAGAAAGAGGGGAATCGATCGTGCGCCGCGCCGGCAAGATGCTCCAGTGCACCAGTGACGTCAGCGAGTTTGCGGTCTCCAAATTACAATATCACGAAAACGAGCGAGGCAAGATGCTATGCCATGGTATGCTATGGTCTATGGACCAATGAGAAGGGTAGAGGGAAGGTCCTTTCCGCCAACCGTGCGCTCGTGAAATAATAGTCTCTTGATTATATGCATTATATGAGCCGAGATTGATACGGTTCGTAATAAAATAATTGAAATAATCACACGCCACAAGGTCGACGTTACGTTAGAAATCTGTTGACCGAGCGAAAACGACGGTTAACGAGATATGCTCGCAACGAGTACGTTAGAAACGATTAAAATCTTGGGAACGATTCTTACATTAGCAGTCTATTAACTTTCTTCCGGTTTTCGAGTCTTAAGGGTGTGCTCGATGAAAGGCAATGTTTGATTATTCTTTTAACGATATCGAATGAAGGCGTCTCGTTCAGATGCAAAGTCGTCGTCAACGATCGTCTCGTCCTTTCTGGTTCTGATCTCACGGCGCCACTAGGGCAGGCACCGGGGCTCACACACGCATACACGAATGCCCGGACGATCGTATTTTTTGTTCCATTCTACGGCAATCTTAATATTATCCTTCGAATTACGGGCCTCCGGTGATTCACGACGCTCCCATCACATACGCACACCATCGAATTAGACTGAAATAATCGCGAACACATTTCGAAGCGGAACATAGCTCTACGCGTGCACCTACATTCCGTATCGTTCGTACGAATCTTGCGATAAATTGAAAGCATTAAATCGACTGTACAGTTTGTTAGACGTTTATCGAGTTAATTGTGGGTCGAATAATAAAAGGCAGCAAAGTCGCGTATGTTTTGCGGGAGCAACGTTATGGTTTTTGTTCACGATTTCAATCACGAGCATTTTTGTAATCTTGGAGAGGGTTTTAAATTTGTTTAGGAGTAACGTGCGTGTTTATGGTTTCCACGAAAGCATTACAATCAGCCCCCTCTTTGATGACCTTTTTTTCTACGACAGATTAAAGGTACTGCTTCATTTTGTAAAGCTATTCCTAGAATTACGATGAAATCGTCCGCGAATAGACGTTTCGAAGGGATGCAATCATCGGAATTACCTAGAGGATCTCCTTACGAAAATTATAAAGCGATGAATACCGAAATGCCAGTGGGAATAATTAAACTGTGAATTAGAAAAATTGCATTCGCTGTTAGACTTTATTACCACTGGTATCACGACGAGTAAGGCGATAATTGTAGCCAGGAGGAACAAACGGTTCTTGCCGTTTTACAACATATTACCATCAAAAACCGTATAATTACGTGTTTGATTCCAACGTCTTTTATCAATTTTCACGGAGTTTTGGTCGATAATGCAGTTACCTGCTTCTAAACCGGAGGCCGGTCGACGCGTGACGTCATTGCAGTGCTGTGTTCCTTTACTTGCACACGCTGTGCAGCAATATATTAGAAAGTAGCGAAAATATAGCAGGTATTCGATCAACGTTTAGTAACCCGATACGTTTGTACAGTGAGTGGAAACGGTGCCATTTTTATAGACGTCAATATAATTATCCCAGCAGACAGGTAACGTACGTGCATGCGAAAATGATGCAACCTTAGTTGTACCGATAAGAAGGCACATGTGGAGCCTAAGGCGTAAGCAACCAAATTGCCCGCATCATGAGAACGTCGGGAAAATTAGAATTTAAGATTGTTATGGTTAGCATTCGACGAATAACTGAATTTTCTGTGCAAAAGTAAGGTTAAGTCACCGTGTGCCAGTTGCGTGTAGTTCGAGAATTCGGTGCTACGTGTCAGCACCGTACGGTACATCCATGTTTGGAAGCTCCCCCGATAAGCCGAAATCGATACTAAATTTACGCGGACTATTTCGAATCTGTGAACACACGTTCTTCGCACAAGAGATTAATAGAATCCATTCTCTTATCGGACATAGTAGTTAAAAATGAGAATAGAAACGCGGTTATGGAAGGCGTACGAAAAATCGAGGAGCATCGCGAAAATAAAGAGGTGGATCCTGCGATGCGAAATCGGCTTTTGAGTAGCATCGGGCGGGTCTCTTCTCTCCCATTATCGTAATTTGCAAATTTTCTGGGGACCGCGATGGGGAGGTGCGCGATTTCGAGTTAAACCGTTGCAATGTTGGGGACCGGATAGTTTGGGGATAGACGGAGGAAGAGGAAAAGGAAGAAGAAGGTCAGATGGTTAGGAAGAGAAACGGTAAAGAAAAGGGAATAAGGAGGGAGGTTGAAAGAGGCGAAAGAGGAAGAAGAGTCGCAAAGTCGGTGGCGGATTGGCGGCCTGAGGCGCGGTTGCAGATTCTCGGCGTGATGCCGGTGATTCGCGGCTTTGGTGCCCAGTAATCGTCGGTCCCCTTACTCAACGTATTCCTCCTCCCTCGCATCTTTGCTCGGTGAATCCACCTCATCCCTTCTCTTCGTCCTTTCGAACTCGCTCCACCGCGCTTTTCTTCGCCTTCCTTGGGCCTCCCTTTGCCTCCCGTAGGCGTCTCGTAGCTCCATCGGTCCTTTGATATGGCGCGGCCCGTTGTACACCGAAGAACGAGGAGGAAAAAGGGGAGGCAATCTCGCGGTAAATACAGCAATCGCTTGATGTGCCGTCCGCATTAATATAATTAGTCACCCCGAGCGCTCGAGAAGCCGACTCGGCTCGATTCGATTCAACTTGACTCGACTTGACTCGACTCGATTCGACTTGACTCGACGCGGGACTCGACTTGAATCGACTCGAGTCGATTCCGTTCGAAACATCGCGGAGCCGGGGGCAGTGCACGTACAGGTGAAGCATGGTGGACTTTCAAGAACCGAAGGGGTTGGAGGAACGAAGGCGTGGTCGATCCATGTTGGATCATTTTCATTTCTATCCATGCAAACTGATATTCCACCCCTTTCCTCTTTTCGTAAATGCATTCGTTTTTTCGTGCCGCGTTAGTTCGTATACCGTAGACAGGGCGAATCAGTACCTCTGGGCATCACCGACCAATAATGCCGCGTCCATTTATCGACGGTAACGAACGCGTACCTTTCCTTTATCCGTTTTGAAGAAAAAAGTATCCCTGGACGGTGACAATAATGCATCTATTCTTTCGTAGAATGGCGCCAAAAAAGATCGAGGAGCCCGAACGGAAACCTCTTATTGGCCGTGTGGGTACCAATTTGAAAGTTGGTATAGTAGGCATACCGAACGTAGGAAAATCAACCTTCTTCAATGTTCTCACCAAAAGCCAGGCGGCTGCGGAGAATTTCCCTTTCTGTACCATCGATCCGAATGAAAATAAGTATCTACATCCATTTATTACATTTCTAACGTAGACCTCGTTAATTTAACCAACTATTCGTTCGTCGTTTGTTCGTAAATACGTCACGTTGCAAACCTCAAAATGTACCTGTTAAAAGATTTCGTTGAACCGTGTATTCCACAATGTGCGATGAAAGTTTGCATACTAAGAAACGCGAACCACCGAAAGCCGACGAATTGCCCGTGGATTCGACGTGTATCATAAAAAAGAGTTTGTTTCGATATCTGAAAGGACGTCCGCGCGAAGAATATGTTCCCTCGTGGCCCGATCCTTATCAATCGGAGTATCCAAAAGCTCACTCTTATTACGCGTTCCACGAGGATACGAACCCATTTAATAGATTCACCGAAGAACAAGAGTTCTGCAGGAACGTTCAACCACACTTTGAACCTCCCAAAGAAATTTATTTTCGTGATCCTTATTTCGAAAACGACGCAAAACGAAAGTATCTCAGAAGTACGCCAACGTCTTTCGTAATTCTTGGGAAGCCCGATCTAAACACTACGAAACTAGCAACGATGATCGCGGATTCGTGGAACTGTATTTTGATTTCACCGATATTGCTCGTGAAGGAGGAGATCGAAAAAGGTACCGAGAGAGGGCAAGTTTTGGCAGATGTGTTGAAGACGGGAGAACGTCTGGGTCCACAGATCATTCTCAGTTTAATAGCTAACAGGCTCGATAAAAGAGACGTGTTTCACAGAGGTTACGTCGTGGAAGGTTTACCGCTAATTCCAAACGAAATAATAGACTATTCCTCTTATTCGAGTTCCTCGACCGAACGATCTAACGCACAAAATATTTTTCAGAAACTTATAGAAATCTTCGGCACCGCGTTCCAAAAGGTATGCGGCTCGACAACTGAATTAGATGAATTTCCAATTTTTTCCGACGATGAATTCCAGAGTAAACGGTGCCAAGCTAAACCCAAGTACGAGGATTTCATTATCGGTCAAATAGAAGATATTTTTACGACGTGGCCTATAAAGCCGTCGATAATCATCTACGCGATGTGCCCGGACAAAGACGTCGTGATAAAGCGCGATTACTTTCGCATAGACACAACTACGGGTCGCGTCGTAGACACGAGTCTCGTAAGAATGAGCAAAAGCATTGAAACTTTATTCTCCCGCAATAGGGAAGAAAAGAACGTGAACATTTCTTTCGAATTGTACAGGGAACTCATGAACGAAGAACGAATATTGGACGAACACCAAAGAAAGTATTTACTGAAGCGAGTTTCCGATACGGAATCGAACGTAGAGATGCAGTGCAAGTTGTACGAGCGTTTCGCACTACCTGTTATCGAAAAACGGATTTTATTGCATAATCCCCAAAACGTAATTCGCGTCGACGGTCGTACATCCGCGTCGCAAATGCTTCAAATCGTCGCCGCCCGTTTACGTACGTTGCCACTTCAACGAGTTATCCTTCCACGAAGATACGCGAATCGTATAGAATTCGGAGGCGAATCCCCAGAGGGTGAACCCTCGGACGAGTTCGAAGGCAAATCGAACGAAGATGCGTTCCAAGATTTGGCGAACAGGGAAACCGTTTCTCCTCTCTATCCTTGGCAGTTGTCGCCTTGGAAGTTCTTGTGTCCAGTCGAATTAACCAAAGGAACGACCGTAGAGGGATCACCACAGCACGCTGTTAGATTCATGAACAACGTCTTTTTCCTCTCGTCCTCGACGGCGGTCGATTTATTCATCGACAACCCTAGAACTTTCCTGTATCCCTTTATTCCTCGGCCAACTTGTAGAATCGCGGTGTTTGGTCCCAGGTACTCCGGAAAATCTTTTCTGTGTCGTCAACTGGCGCACATACTTCGAGGCACGGTAATAAACGTGAACGACATCGAAAAATCTCTCGCGAACGTTGATTCCAATATCTCTATTTATTCGTCCGATCACGTAACGTTGGAAGAAAAGATCGATAGCATCTTGAAAAGTATACGGAGTGTGCCGCAGGAAGAGGTAGACATAGAAATATGGAGAGACGGAGGTTACGTCGTGGATGGCATGTACCCTAACGTCGACGGCTGGAAAAAGCTCGTGGAGGATTCGAACGTCGTCTTCGAAGACGTTGTTCTTTTATTCGACGAGGAACCGTACGAGTATTTATTGGCCAAATGGCACAGCATTCACGATGTTGGAGAGTCCATGGAATTGCACGAAGGATACATGGAAGATACTGTCAGCGAAGAGGAGGAATCGCATGGTTTGGCTGAGTATCTTAGGCATATTCGAGAATTTGAGGAAAATTGGGAAGAAGTACGGGAAACGGTGGAGAATACTTGTAAAAATTTGATAACTTGTAATCTGAGGACGATCGATAACGTGTCAGATTACGTTATGGAACGTATTAAAGACCGCTATACGAATAAAGCGAGGATCATGACCGAGGAGGAAAAGGAAAGAGAAAAGGATCTTGCGGAGTACTTTGCCTTGACCGATACAGAGGGTCTCGACGAAGAAGGAGAGCAAGAAGGCGAGAGACATACGACGGAATCAGAGGTTAAAGAGGATACTCGACGTTACGGTGATACCGGTTTCTATTGTCCAATTGCAATGCTACGACACAATGTCTTTTGGAGGGGTAAGGAAGAGTTCAGTGCAATTTTTCTGAATAAAATATATCTTCTTTCCAGCGCCGAGGCTCTCGAAGAATTTTTACGCGATCCACGGAAATTGAACCTTCCGTTAAGAAAACCCTTGACTAAATTTCCACCGTCTCGCGTTAGCATCATCGGTCCATTAGGAAGCGGTAAAAGTACATTGGCTGATAGCATAGCGCGGAAATATGGTTTGGTGCACATCGATCACTGCGACGCTTTTACCAGGTACATGGAAGATCGTGGAATGCCAGCAATATCCGACAGAGACATTATCATTTCACCGGAGAGTCTTCTGGAGGAAGTAGAATTACCCGAAGATCTGACCGACGAGAGATACAACAGCGACGGAGCCACGGTGCAAACGTTCGTTCGACGCTACTGGAAAACAGGCGGTATTCTGTCGAGAAAAATGTTTCACGAATGCGTGTCGGCGTTTTTCGAGGGACTGTACAACGAATGCGGTGTGGTACTCGATCACTTTCCAAGCTGTCCGCAAAACGTGGAGGATGCGTTAAAATATTACACGGTTCCCGAAATAGTCATAGATCTTCGTTGCAGCAAAGAGACGGTGCTCGAAAGAACGCTACCGACGTTGCTCACGTCCTGGAAGGATAAGCTGGAAAAGAAGAAACGTATCGAGAAGGCACGATACACGGAAGAACTAGAAGCGTACATAGAACAACGAGACAACTGGATCGATGCAATGCTGGGTCAACGGTCCAGCGAATCTAGCTTGGAAACTGTATCCGCAACCGTATCCCCGAAAGTATCGGAGGATTATTTTGAATCGGAAGAAACACCGAGCAGACAAGAACTGGAAGAAATGTGGCGTCTAAGTCATCCCGAGCCCGTACTTTTCACAGACTGGGAAGAATTCGACACGGTGAAGCACAGAATCAAACGGGACTTCGAAGAAATGTACGAAATCGAATTGGACATATTAAACGCTACCCGAATCTTATTGGAAAACGAATCGATACCGTACATGGCCGTGAATGCGGACGGAAACGCGGAACAAGTTTTGTCGCGAGTCGTGCAAATTCTCGATCCTTACTTTCGACGAGATCTTTCCTTCTTAGAACAAACGTACTCTATCGATCTCGAGACCGCCGAAACTCTTCTAGCTTGCGGTTACTATCTTTCGAGCTCCTTCGGTCGCTGGTGTCCCGTGCAATTACGCGAAAATAAGATCCCTCTGCAAATGTTTCTACCGCTGGAAGCTCAGCAAGAGGTTCATCCCGTAATACACCGACAGTTCGTTTATTTTCTCGGCGGTAAAGAAGCTAATTCCGCGTTTTCGAGGAACCTGTTCAAGTACCTCGAACAAGACTCTTGCGTACCCGTTGTTCCGTTTCGACTGTCCATCATCGGCCCGCCAAAGTGTGGAAAAACTACTCTGGCGCGTCGCTTTGCAAACAAGTACGGCTTAAAAATAATAACACGTGGCAGCGCTCTGCGTCATGCCGCAGAATATTTCCACTGGACCGAATCGTCGCGACTCATGGAATCCCAGCTTCGACTTGGTCACCTTTGTCCAGAAGAATCGGTATCTCGATCCGTCGAAATGTACTCCATCGATCCTGCTTCCATGTCCCAGGGTTTCGTGCTCGACGGCTTCCCCACGAATCGCAAGGAATACGAGCAGTTAACGTTTCTGGGTGTTCAACCAATGATCGTGCTCGATCTTAAAACGAATCTATCATTTTGTTTGGAGCATTTATCTCGCGAAACGGATCGAACGACGAGACCGATGAATTTCTCGAGCAGCTTCTTGCAACACCGTTACGCGAATTGGGAGATCGATCAGGGAAACTTTCGCGAATGGTTGAACAAATTCGCTCAAAACGTGATCGAAATTGATGCAACTAAGAACACGTGGTACGTGTGGACACGATCGGATCGAGAAGTCTGCGCCAGTTATATGCACGTCAGAACGTACTTTCGCGAAAGCGATTACGACAAAGTCCATGCTTTGAAATTTATGAGCATTTCACCGTACGAGTTCAAAATACGGCAAAGCGAATACGAGTCGTATTGCCCCATTTGCTTGTATCGCGACAACTTGATGAAAACTACGGGACATCCGCCTGATCATCACGGAATGTATCAGTATAGACAACATTTTTATTGGATCTGTCCACGACACGCGCTCGACTTCGTTGAAAATCCGCTCGACCATCTTCCCCCTGCAAATACCGCTCGCCTACCGGAACACCGTCCCCGTATTTTGACAGAGATAGTTGACCCTGAGCATGCCTGCTGGGCGAGGCGTTTGCGAGTCGGAGGATTTTGCTTGGTGACGTACGTCGAAAATTTACCAGAACGTCGACTCGTACCTGGAAAGACGAACCTCGGCGTTTTGTATCGAGACAACGTGTACCTATTCTGTACCGAAGAATGTCGCAACAAATTTCTGGAGCAAGCGGATAAGTTCGCGAGCATGGATATCAAATTTTTGCACACGTTGCAACCTATCGATATAAAGGGATTACCGACTTTTGGCTTCCTGGAGCAATCGGTAGCGGCATTGATAGTTCAAGCCGTAAACCAAGTCAGCGTAAAACGACCTAAAATACCGGGATTATCGTGTTCCGCCAGTGCAGCGATTTATATCGGTGTCTTCTTAAAAACTCGTAACCCGACTGAATCGAAGGAATTGGAAGTCTACAAGTCGGTCGAAAGAAGAATGGAGGGTTACGATAGTATTATCAAGATAGCTACGGAAACGATGAAGGAGATACTAAATCCTTTTATAAATTTACCCAACTTTATAAACCAGGATAACGAACGAGCTCGGTGCAGCGAGCAAAGGACGATATTGACACACGTGTTCCCACGTTCTTCGAATTCAATTATGTTCCGTCGGACATCTCCGACGCAGATGTTAATGGAGCCAACTTACGACTCGGACGAATGAACGTGGAGTTTGCGATTTATAATAAACGATTTACAAACGACTGAACGTGTAACTGTTTCTTGTCATACAACGTGTGTTTTTACTCTTGGTCTAACTACTCTTTGTTTTCCAGCACGTCGCGTACCAGTGCCCGACCCGAGGTTCGATTATTTGTGCGAATATTTCAAACCAGCCAGGTAAGCAGCCACGCAGATGTTGTTCGATCGTGTATTATCGAAAGAAAAAACGACGAGTCTATCTGGAAATGCACCCTCGCTATGGGAAACGAGTTGGAATAACTATTGGCATTTCCATACTTCTTCTTCGCTTTTATTTTCGCGAGTCGGGAACAGGGGCGACGGGAGAAAACGGTACGTGATCTGCAATGCAGATTCTACTAAATTCGTCTACGCGACGCATAGTCCATGTTGAACATCCGCCGAATTTACATACCTTTTTCTTTGCCCGCTTTACAATATCTGTACGTTCAAGATAATATTTTTCGTGTCGTTACGACTGCATGGATGGACATTGCTCGATATTTCCTGCGAGGAATTTGCACGCGATTCAAATAAATCCAATGCCGGCGGATCGAGTCGAGCCGTAATTAAAATCGTGTATCGTGATCTAAACGTTCTTGATAATGTACAGTTTTGTTGGAACATGTGGAAACCGCTATACGTGGCGTACATCGACGTAGATGGAAAGCGTGTTTACCGTGGCCGCGCGTCATCGTGCTGGCTCGTTGACACGATGAGATTGAACGTATGTACGATGAGATTGAATGTATGTACTTACAAAGTAGCGTATACCAGTCATGGGAGAATCGTAAAGCGGAGCGTACCGTGCGACCGACGTTGAAATATTCTTTAAAGCTGTTTCCACCGATAAACTGGTAAGTAGCGTGTAAAGAAAACAAATAGAAGTCGATAAACTCTAAGCGGCAAAAGTATAGCAAAGAATAATTATCGAATGGGAGGACAAGTTTGCTTTGTCACACGTGCTCGGTTCACAATTCCGCTAATTCAGAGAGAGATTGAAACAGCCTGTAGATCAAAGAGTATCTTTTCATCCTGGTCTCCCACGATCTAACGCCGGCACATTCTCTTGTCAATGACATTGCACGGTCCGACTACCGTCACGTGTCGAATGATTCAACGATCCCTAATGAAAGCCACCTAACGCGGCATCCCCCTTCTTGTTCATTTTACCAACGCCTCTCTTCAAAGGCTAATTGTTTAATGAGGCTACTCGCATTAGCATTTAAATACAGCTCGTTGTCACTGCGACACCCTCGCGTTTCGATTCTAAACGCATGCGTGCGCGTGTCACCGTGATCTATAATCGCTTTTTAACCCTCTCTTCGACGATTATAAGAACACGAATTTTTGCCTGTGCTTTCAGCAAAGTTCCGGCGTTCTTGAACGTGGTGGACATCGCCGGATTGGTAAAAGGCGCCGCCGAGGGACAGGGATTGGGAAACAGTTTTCTTTCGCACATCAACGCTTGCGACGGCATTTTTCACCTTTGTCGTAAGTTGCTTCAAAGTGTACGCGTTCGACTCCCAGCACTAATTTTCGCGTAAATGACGTTATTGTTCTCGATAAACGGGGGGCGGTACGATCAGTTATGTTAAGGGGAGTGTCGTCACGTGGGAACAAAAATTTATACAACAACGCGCGCGAGTTTGCACGTTGAGGGACTCGCATTTTAGACTACTGTAGTTTCCTAGAAACACGTCATTCGCTGATAAATGGATATTCAAGAAGGAACTAATCGTATTTCTAATTGCGTGTAGGCGCGTTCGACGACGACGACGTTACCCACGTAGAAGGAGACGTGAACCCTGTAAGGGATCTTGAGATTATCAGCGAGGAACTGCGACTGAAGGATATCGAGTTTTTGAATGGTCACCTGGAAAAACTCGAAAAGCTCGTGGTCCGAGGGAACGACAAGAAACTGAAACCGGAATACGTAAGCGTGCAATCCTTTCCCCTTTTTCGATGTTCCGTTTAACTGTTACGAAAGTTGGGGAGAACGGATCGTTTTCTTACGATTTTCGCGTCGAGACGCAAATGAAACTGTCGTAAATGCAAGCACATCGAGGAACCCGAACGAAATTACCGAGGAAATTAAGAGAGCCTGGTCGGTACACTACTTCCTAGAACGAATCAATCGAATTACCCTCTTTCCGTGGATTGACCCACGGTAATTTCCGATCTCTCCCTCGTTCTAGACTTTGCAATTTGCTAAAACTTTTCGAGAGCTACCTCTTCCTTCTCTCGGCCAAGCTAATGGAACGACGTTTTGTTCGCGTACAACTCCGTTAATCGCATCTCGATCACGACATTATTCCGTTTAACGGTGCACGCTCGCACAGTCAAATGCTAGGCGGATTTCTTTCTCTCGCTATATATAGCAACGGATCGTAGATTACTTTCTTTCGCTACAGATATACCCGTGCACTTGTACAGCAGGGAAATGTGGATAAAAAAAAAACAAGATAAATTTACGTATACAAGAGAGCTATAATTGAGCACTTTTCTGCGTAGGACACGTTGTTGAAAGTGAAAGGTGTAATGGTGGATGAGAAGAGGCATATTAGGTTCGCTGATTGGAGTGCCACCGATGTAAGTTGATTGTGCCAATTTACCAATTACGAGTTCAATTTGCCGGTCTAAAAAAATATTCTACGCTTATTGCAGATCGAAGTTCTCAACAAATATTTATTCCTCACGTCGAAACCAGTTATTTATCTAGTTAACCTGTCGGAGAAGGATTACATACGTAAGAAGAATAAATGGTACGTATTAGGAGGATTCATCCCCGAATATTATTAATGTCCTATCTTTAAGAGTTCGATCGAACATTGTTCCTTACGAAATATCTAGGTTAATCAAAATAAAGGAATGGGTCGATAAGAACGACCCCGGTGCCGTTTTAATCCCGTTCAGCGGAGCTTTCGAAAATAAACTCCTCGATATGGACGAAGTAGAGCGTGCAAAATATCTCGAAGAAAATAAGGTTACCAGGTGAGCAGAGGTGCCTATCATTTTCAACAATACAATCCTATTAAACGCTATTCCTAAATTCTTCAAGTTCACGCCCTTAAAATTACCCTCGTCTTTATACTTGCAAATGAAAGGACCGTCGGAAAGTGTACCGCGTTCTACTTGAAAATAGCACGCTTTGGGACGTTCGAGTCGCATTTACGGACCAATTATTAAAACACTGCCCAAAGATACGTTGCGAGGAAAAGAGACGAACGTCCGTAAAATTCGTGAAGTCGGCTCCTCGAGCTAACCCCGAAAAAACTCGGTTCCCACATTTAGCTATGCACCGAGTTATCTACTAGCGGTAATAATAATGGAGGGCTCGGTCCGAACGTCTAGACTAGTGCCCGCTCTCCTTTTCTCCTGCAAGATGACTAATAAAAACTGCGGCATCTTGGCGCATTATATTTTTACGAACGGCTATTCAAATTCTTGCAAAATTGCATAAAAACCCACTCTTGCCCTGCCGAACGCGCCGCCAAGGAGGATAAGCAAGGAGGACGAGTGGAGCGAAGATCAACCGGTTCACTTGGCCAGTAGGTCATTCGCGAATAAAACCAATCCTCGATCGGCTTTATGTACATTCGAAAAATTACCTACAAATTTTATTGAGAAAAAGTTATTCTAAACTGTTTGCGCGTGAATAAAAAAGATCTAACAGACAAAAGGCGGTGAAGAAAAATATTAAATCGTGCTCGCCAATGATGGCCATAATTGCGCCGATGGTCAGAAATCTAAATTCATCGGCAAATTTTGTCGATCCTTCGAAATGATTGTACGGAATAGGCTCTCCCGGTAATCATAGAGGACAAACGGAAGATTTCTAGATACCGCGATTTTATTTCGAGACCACGGATAACTAAGGCGCCGAGCTGGATCTCGAACAGAGTCCGAGTGATAAAATTGCGGTATTAAGTCGTTCAGCTTTATGTGTATTCCGTGAAGTCTCGAAATTCGTTGGGCCCACGAACTGGATGGTTTCCCTTCCTCTACCCTGTCATTAGACGATATTCGGCTCGAGACAATCATATTCCATGGTCCTCTTTCTAACCACCCCTTTCAACCGAGAGTCTATCCTTTTTCTAATGCGCTTCATCAAAGTGTACGTTCTATCTCTTTTTAACTTTCATTTTTTCCATCGCTACAAGTACATTTCATTTTTTAGCGCCCTCGACAAAATTATCGTTCAGGGATACAAGGCACTGCAACTGCAATACTTCTTCACGGCGGGACACGACGAAGTCAAAGCGTGGACGATTCAGGTAAAATGAACGTCTTTGTTCATTCGATAAAATACCTTCATATTCCACTATTTTACTATTTTAGAAAGGTACAAAAGCACCGCAAGCTGCGGGAAAGATCCACACGGACTTCGAAAAAGGGTTCATTATGGCCGAAGTGATGAAGTATGACGATTTTAAGAACGAAGGATCAGAAGCAGGGGTGAAGGTAAGTATTGATGCGTACATTAATATTTGATACGTATCTTATGAGTCTTTTGTTCAGGCTGCTGGGAAGTACAGACAGCAAGGACGCAATTACGTGGTCGAGGATGGAGACATAATTTTCTTCAAGTTTAACGCTGGTGCAGGGTTAAAGGACGCGAAGAAAAAGTGATGGCACGCGTTACTCGTGTTGTTACTTGTCCATTTGTACATCAACATGATCCTGATGTTTTGTTGCACACGAGACTCGCGTATGAAACGATCCAACTCGCTTTCGAATACCCCTTGACTTCTTTCCGCGTTATTTCCGATTAACCATCGCCGATAACGGTAACGAACACCTGTATAGCGAAGCAAGTATTTTTATATGTTTTATTACACAATAAATATACCAAACTTTTCCTTTTCACGATTAAGAATGAGTTGTCGCCTTCTATTGTATCGACGCTAGTAACTATTTTTGGAGCAGTTATTGCAACCTTGGTGTGGACTATTAAATTTCGATACTATTAACATGTAAATAAATGGCTTCGTCATATTTTGCTTGTGTGACTTTTAATAGCAAGGAAGTACGTCGAAAGAAGGATATTATTTGAATGTTTTTTTTGTATATTGACATATTTATTCTAAATAAATATATTTCTTTTAAAAGGAAGATCAAGTCGAATCATTATCTCCTATCAATAATCCCATATGCGTACATTCTTCTCTTATGCCTCGTTCAAAGTACGTACAAATAGCGAAAGTGTACTGTTACACGCTTCCTTCACATCGACAGTAGATGGAGAAACTGTACGTTTGTTTCAAACGTGATTGAAATATTTGATAATAGATGCTGCTGCTATTCGCTTTTCGAACGGCGCGCATATCGATTTTTATACACGAACAATTAAATCCGCTAAAATTGATTAAAAGTCTGCGATTAGGATAGTAGGAAAAAATAATGTATAAACATATTGTTTAGACAATTGTTTAATTTTCTAAAAAAGTCGTTTATATTTCGTTACAAAAAATCTTACCATATCACGTTTAGAACAATTATCTTTGGTGCAATTTAAAACTATAGATAACGAAGCATGGCAACCTGGTTCATTAATATTAACTTCTTCCATCTCTGACTCGTGTTTCATTAAAAAGCCGAAGTTTTAACCACTCGTACAACTTTATCTCGTCTTCGAAAAGTTTAAAGAGAATATCTCTTTCGCGTGGTTTCAACGTTATCGTGTAATCAGAAAAATTCTTGTTCGTCCCTGCACAAGTGGAATCGATATCATTGAACATATATCGATACACTGAACAGCGTGTGTTATATCTACTTACGAATCTTTTTATAAATCTGTCTCGCTCCGCGGAAAAAATATGGAAATTTATATTCCAATACGTCTATCGATTGCTCCATGCAATCTAATATTCCAATAACGGGATACCACTCGACGATATTTGCTTTCGCCCGTTGTAATGCCCACTTATTATTTATCTCTCTATAATTAACGGGTAGTGTAATACCGTAGCGAGAAATAACATCGATAAATTTAATCTGCCAAGTACTCACGTGCATCGAGGATCCTGCCCACAAAACGTGGGTATCGCTCTACCTTCGAACACGTTATGTTTCTCGCGATATCTGAAACACCGTACGATTAAAGCAAAATATCAGAATGATCCTGCAAGAAAAATAAAGCGTCCCTGTACCTCTGCAAAGTTCGAGTACCCATAGGATTTCTCACCAAAGAGATAAACGTTGGCGCAGGTCGACCGAATTTTGAAAAATTCAAAAACCTTACATCCCCATCGAAGCTTAAAGGAATCGCTTCCTGTCTTATGATATTCGTAACCTCTTCCACTAGCAGTTCCTATAAAATACAATTCCCATCAAATTGCAATCTGAATGAATTTTTAAACGCACACACCTGTTCGATTTACTTTCAAAAGCGATGCAAAAATCGCTCTACGCGACATGAAAAATTACGAACCAGCGAAATAACGCATAATTTAACACGCGATGCGAAACGTCAGGATGATTGATTATCATACTCCAAATACGTTGAATCTTTTAATATTTATTGACTTTCGCGACGGTCCCGTGTTTTCGTTCCCGCGGTTACCTAGGCATGCTCCAAATAGGAATTCTCTGACCGAGGCTGCTTTAATTGGAAAGACGAAAGTGGCACAACTTCGATTGCAACAGCGAAAACCAACTCTGACGTGAACGTAAAGTGCAACGACCACGATGTGATTAAATTTTCCGCAGATTTATGCGATCAATGAATCAGGTGCTGATTCATGCCCCCAGCGTTATTGTTCAGCGTTCAATCGATGCCTCGGTAAAACGGTGCCGCGACTATTTCACGCCGTTTCGAGCACATTGGAATCGAAACCGATAATTCAAAGAATTCCGCGATAAATTCAGCCGCGGAAATATTAAGATAAACGCTGTCGCTTCAAATTTACCTGCTGTAGAGTTGACAAAAGTTTGTGATCACCGGGCGGTAATCTTATATGCTTAAAAGCATTGTAACCCTGCAGACGTTGCAAAATCAAGACCAACGATTCGGCTCCAGCGTCCGGTACACGAGTCAACATTAGGATATGTTTATTCGTTTTCGGCAAATTTCCATGAGCGCCCAATTCCGCAAGAGAGGGTGTTACATGCCGATACGTCTGCGCAACAAATTAATGAAGACGACCACTGTATTAATGCTGCGGTATCGTTTATAATCTAGCTCAATTAGAAGCGAAATATCTTTGCAATTTCATGGTACGCGCAACTTCCGGCGAACTCGTTTACAAATCGCAAAAGGGAAAGATCGCTTTCCAACTATTACATCTTTCGCTGGCGCACTTTCACTCCGATAAGCTTGTTCTGAACTCGACCGGTTCAATGTTTGAAAAAAATTTATTTGCCGCGTTACGCAAAAGAGTGTAAAAGACTTTGTCATGTCTACATTGTATCTCTATATGATCAAAATTATAAACGCTATTTATCGATTAATGATTGAATTCACCTGGCTTCTATAGATTTCCTGTTTTCCCGCCAAACGGTCTACGTCACTTTCAGAATCGTGGATGACTACCGCAGATTTCGAATTCAAAACGATGAAGAGAACCGTCAAGACAGCGACACTAGTCAACAGTCCACGATTCAACCGCATCTCGATACGAAATTCGATAAGTCGTACCAGTGTTAGACTATCTTCTCTTCTCAAAAAGTATTTGACCGGTAATCCTGATTGCCGGCATCGAAACTCTCGATCGCAGATTACCGACGTTTGTGTCTAGCAAGTAACTGAGGAGAATGTCAGTGGGTCAGAGACTTCCTACCGCCAGATCTGATCCCCACATCTTCAGCTGAACTCCCACCAGCCTTAGATCTCGTGAAAAGCGAAATTTGGCTTTTCCTTGCAGCGCTTGCTGAATTTTAATCAGGAAATACTTTCGAAACGAATACATTTCTTACGCTGTCAACGAGCTCCAACGCGCGTTCGTTGATCCAGGAATACCGAACGCGTATGGAGTTAAACTATGCTCTATTAGGTGATGCTGCAACTTTTCTTATGCGCCTATCGGCATGGAACAGCATCCATGGTACAGCATCCCGCAAGACGCGTGCGGTGAAAGGAAGCTCCATTCTTCGTTCGCGAATGATGATTCATTGTTTCTATCGACCTTCGTAACTCCGATAATGTTGGTTCGATATCATCGGACTTGCTTAAATGGCAAGAAAGAATGTGAAGAAGCGGGTGTTGGAATTGTTGGCATGCATGATGGGTTCGAGCGTAGCTTAGAATCAGCTTTGTCCTTCTAAGAAAAGGAGAGATAGATTCTTGTCATTTTGAACACGTCACGAAGAGTTTTCCGGAAAAATAAAACAAATTCCTCGAAAAAAATGGCGCGCTCCGCGAAGTTCCACGTCTGACCGCTATTCAACCGGCCGGCGTGGTGGCGCAACCATCCACGTGGTAGAGGCGCTTCGCGATCATTCTACAGAGCAAGTTTATTTGTAAACACGCGGTTTCATTTCTTAAGATGGACACGTACGAAGCACGTAAAAAAGATTGGGAAGATTTAGAAGTGACCAAAGAAGAGTTGAAGAATTTGACCGAGTGTTTGAAGAAGGAAGAGTTCCGGAAATTGTTGATCGAGTACGCAGAGGAGGTGACTGATCCGGAGAATAGGAAGATATACGAGAAAGAAATCACGCAATTGGAAAAAGAACGGGGCGTCGACGTTACGTTCGTTAACCCAGAGCCTGGTTACGTCATAAAAACAAGCGTAAACGGAGAGAAGAAATGTTTTCTGAACATCAGCAAAAGCGACATCGTGGCACGACCGACCAGTCAACCTTCTTTCGAACAAGGTCATCGCGGTTTGCAGTGGTCTATTCCGTATACGTTGATACCTCCGCGTGACGATCTTGATAAAAAGAACGTGCGTTGCATGGTATTTGACGTTGTCTTTCATCCGGACACTCTTTATCTATCGTCAAAGAATGCGCAGTTTCGGGAAATCGTTAATAACACAGCCATGGACGGTGTGGAAAATAACTTCAAGGTATGTCGCGCGCGTATCGTACTCGTCACTTATCTGTAATTTGTCATTGATTCGATTTCGTAATTATATTTTCTTTTTTGTCATTTCGGACTAGGTCAAATTAGACAGAAAGAATGTTAAGTTTCCAAAGTCGAGTTATAAAGGGATGTGCCATCCTACAGTGATAAGAAAACCATCCAAGGAACCTCCGAAGGAACATTTAGACATAGAACCAGAAATCTATCAAAAGTTGATGTCCAGTTACGATAGGAGCAGAGAGCAGCATATAAAGCAGACAGAGGAACAGCCGCGAAGACCTGTACCATCTACCACATACTATAAAGAGAGACTGGAGGAGAAGCAAGACATGAACAGTGAATACGTTACACCTAAATTTTCTATTAAACATCAGTCCGATGTAGAGCTGGAAGATTTCAGTACTAATAGAAATGCAAACATGAATGCTACAGTACCTAAGCGATTGATCATTACTATAGACCTACCCTTATTAAAAACTGCCACCGATGCTTCCTTAGATGTTCAAGAGCGTTTTCTTAATGTAAAGAGCGAAAAACCTGCAAAGTATTTGCTGGAATTGCCTTTGCCTTATCGTGTAGATGCAGATCATGGCAATGCTAAATTTGATCCGAAATACAAAAAACTAGTGGTGACTCTACCAGTTATTAGATCTGTGGTACCAGTGTCCGATACCAGAGAAGACAGCGGAGTTGACAGCGATCATAGTAGTCCTGTACCGATGCTCTCTGAACGCATCTCAAAAGATGATTCCTTTGATCAGAGTCACGCGAGTAACTCTATATCAAAATTAGTTGAAGATTGTGAAACAGTGCTCGCAATCACTAAACTAGAGGATACAAGTGAAAAGTTAGAAGATTCTAGTGACACTGCGTTACGGACTAACATAGAGGATACAGATACTTTTACAGATCCTAGCGTTAAGTATTCTTTACCGACGTTTATTTGTAATTTATACGAAAATCAATTAACTATTACTATAAATGTAAAAAACGTGAATCCAGATTCTATTCGTCATAAGATCTTGCAAAATAATTCCGGTGTGCATGTTTTATTAACATCGATAGGCGCAGGATTTTATCCTCAACATTATTCGTTATGTTTAAAAATAAACGAAAACTCTGTGGATCCCGATTCGTTCACGGTTGATCCATGGGATAATAACGTTGTGTTCTCCGTAAAATTAGAAAACGTTGAAAACTTAGCACGATACTACGTTGGTGAGACCGAGGAGTTCATGGAAGAGAAATATCTTCCTACAGCTTTGTCATTCCAGACCCAATTGAAAGAACTGACAGTAAGTACCAGTAAGAAGAGGATAAGAAAAAAGTAAATAATACTTCATATTCGTTTATCTTTTTCACAGGCGGAAGAAGATTTCAAAATAGATCGAACGATAGACGTGCACACAGAAGATGATGGTGTCGTCATAAATATTACTCCGAATCAGTTGGATTCCGACGACGAAGTTGATCACCGGAATTTGCGGTCGATCGAATGTCGCGAAAATCATGACACCGTGTCAGAAACTAGATCCGTTTCAGAAAGTAGCGGAGATGAACTAACAAGTAGCATCGGTGCAAGTACATTCTCGAAAGGTATATTAAAATCAAGGCGCGCTAATGCTTTTTCTCGTTCAGTATCGGAATCGAGCGCCGATGAAAATGGAATGCCGGCATCGTCTATAGACTGCCATTACGGTTCGGTACAAGACATGAACTCTGAATCGGAATGTTCCAGTTTAAAAAAGACAGTACGATTCAATGACGTAGTGTCGCGACAATTATTCAGGTGTGGTTGCACTTACAACAATAAATATAATTGGTCATATCTTACAGATTATTTACGTTGCTTTACTTTGCTTTCAGATCAAACTCCAGCATTCTCGGTCGACGTAAGAAAAACCGACGTAAATTGCGAAACAAAAAACGTGCACAGAATCGTAGATTGAGCGAGAGCGAAAACTCCGAAACGGAGGAACGCGACAAATATAAGATAAATCAAAAGAGTACAGAAGTTACTGATATCGTGAAACCTATACTTAATAAGGATAAGCAATCGACGAAACAGAAAACTGCCAATATTGAAATAATGAAAGGGGCTAGTGATAATCGTTCGTCGGTGGAAAGGAACTCCAGCGTCGAGGAAGAAATCGAGCATGAAATTCATTCGGATAAGGATATCGAATATAAGGATGCGGTGAAGATGGAATTTAAGAACGATCTGATATTTGATCTTGACATGTAGATTTCTGCGATATGTCAACGAATTGAAACTCGTATGTGATATCTTCTGAAGTTAAACGAGTAACGTATCTTTTAATTATCTCAAAATAAGTATTATCGTGAAATTACTCGCAAAGTTGGTTACTAAACAAAAGAACCACAGGGTTACGTTCACTTATGTGATAATGTTTCTTTTCAGTAACGAAAGAAAAGTGACTACGCATCATAGTTGCGCGCACCATCGTGAATCGATGAAATTGTATATTCGTATTATTTTAGAAGGGTTCGTAATCGTGAGTAAACAAATTGTTAGAGAATGTTAGAAGTTTTTAGTACGATAGCTCAAAAACGTCGATCTTATTCTATTATACCTTACATATTTATAAAGATTGCGGGTACGCGGTCAACAAAGTGCAGAGATGGATGGGAATCTCTTTAATATATCTCATGCGATGTACTGCATACTTTGAGAATATTTCTTATAGAAAAGCAGAAGAACGCGATTTATTAAAATTATTCGTGAAGGGAATCTGCATAAGAAGTACGAAAACACATGCTCTATTTTATAGAATGAAGTTCTTAAAAAAATCAATTTTTACAGACATTTTATAGAGATTATCGTACGATCATTTGTATAGATTGCACGTAGCGAATACATTCTTCCAATAATCGCGATCATATAATCTGAATCATGATTAGAAAGTATTGTTCCATCGCGGAGCAAATTGCGCACTCTTGCTTTTGTAGCGAGGTGTTTGCCATATCAATGTACACGCGATACAATATTAGCATATTCCATACAATAAAAAGTGGGGAATAAAATTTCCTGATACTATGTTCAATGTTCAATTATTGATAACTACGAAATCACCTCCCAAAATATGCAACGAAATATTCCTGAATTTATAATTTTAATTAAATCTTTGTGCGCTAATTCCGTAATTTGTTGTTCGTTTCTCATCGGACCGTAGCCTCGGAAGTTCTCGAAGCAAGAGAGAGCATCGAAAGTTCGTTTATCGTGTACGAACGATGATCGCAAGGTGTGAAGCAAAGCGTAGCTGCACTAAAACGTGATGGAAAAGTGGGACAAGCGAACACGGCAGAGGTAGTCAGGCCGCGGTACAAGCCGTGGATGAGAGGTTGCCCGGAGTTGGAGCCCATCGATCTCGCTACCTGCGGGGGTGTAAGGTCGTTACACTCGCGTCTACCTATGTACGAGCTGCATTGCATAGTTCCTCGTATTATTCCTATTGATGCCCCGCCGCCACAGTAGCGAGACAGCGACAACCCTCACGAATGCAACGTTCTAATTTCGCGACACAACCCCCTGCAACCACTACCACAGCTTTGGTTCACGACGACGTCGACGTCGGCGACGGGGTCGCGGCCTGATTCGCAAACACTCTAAAAAGACGACCTAGAAGGACAAGGGTCTCTCGTCAAAGACTGCGAAGGTACTCCCTCTCTTCTTCTCTCTTGGGGACGTAGACTAAAGAGTTGAATACACGGTGTGAATCTTTGAACCTTTGCCTTCTAATCCTTTCCTCTTTTTCGCATCGATGTATTCGCAGAAATATTTCATGCGACATAAATCGAACTTTAATCGCTCAAGAAGCTTGGTAGACTCGACGTTGGTGATATGGTATCAAGCCGAATTTTAGCATCCGATGACGGTAGGTGGTGAGAAGAGGAGATCGACACGATCAAATACTCGTGTAACAGATTTCGCGAATCGAGTACCGATGAGATAAAGGTGGTAGGCCTGAGACCTAAGACTAGCACCAGGTCGATAAGTCGTCCACCCCTCGAGAGAGAGTCAGAGGCCGATGTGGGTGCACGAGGGTACACGTACCCCGCGTACCGTAGTTACGGCAGGCACGACATCGGCAATGCGGCAGCCGTTTACGTCGTTATACCGTCCAGCCATCGCACCTGGCACCGCTCGGGATCAGGTCGACCGGTATTTAATGCAGAAATTACAGATGTCATGCGTTACCAGGCTAATCGTAATGATCAACGATTTCGCTCGTCACTCGTTCACCGATGAAAATCCTATTAATGATACCGACAATCGAATAATTACAAATTAATCCTTTAATAACCTGCATACCTCGTGGATCGAACCGCGTTTGCTAACAGTAAAATTACTAGAGACTTTTAACATCGCAGTATCTCGATAATAGGAATTGCTTGTTTGCAAGAAACGTACTGTTTGCACGAAGATGCAATAAGTTCTCGGAGTCTTTGAAGAGCTCGAATCTCGAAGTAATTTCTTCACGACCCAAAAGCGCAGCCGAAAACCGATACGATGCACTTGTTGTGAAACTAAAATAAGTATTTCAAAATACGAAACAACGTAAAACTGGAACGTGCACGTAGCGGTAACGGGAGACGACGTTAAAATTTAACACCAAGAATATCGTAACGAGAAAATTGCAATAAAGTTACTTTAATAAAGCAGTAACGTACTTTTTAACTCGTTCGCTGCCGCACGAAACTTTTACGGAATTGTAAAAACGATCCTCCGTTTTCTTCCTTGCATCCACATTAATGGGTATAATTATCCTAATACTTTACTTTAAATCACGCGTTTTTAAACGGGTACATGACGAAACGCTCGTTAAGAAATTTTAACGAAGAGCTCGTTAGAAATAATTCCACAGCCTGTTGCTGTTACGATGTTTCAGAAACATAATACGTTTGTCTGACGCTGTAGGTACACAATTTAGAAATTTTCTACCGAACGAAATAAACAGTTCTGAAACTTGAATTTCGTGGAAAAAGATGATCATGATTTAATATAGTTGCGTTAAACGGTAAAAAAAAATATAAATTTCGAGTCGAGAAATATCGCGAAGAGATCTTTTGCACAGAAGCAGAGAGCTGGATTAAAAGAAAGCAGGAAAGGCAGGACTCCTTATTATTCTGATATCTCATAGGGAAGAGGAGAAGAGTGCTCGACAAAACAGAAGGGAAGAGAGTGGTACCCTGAGAACCTTCCTGCCTCTTTTTTATCTCAATCCATCTCCTTTTCTCCATCCCTCCCTACGGAGTCAGGTACTCGAAGTAGTGGAGTATCGATTATATGGACCCTGCTTCGTGACCACGCGCCGTCTGCACGGCGTGTTGCCCGGATAACCTACTGACACTGACAATTTTCATGCAACACAGATATTTGTAATATCGATTATTTATTTTATTTGTCGTTAAACCCGTAATACGATGTTCCTAGGCGTTGCTATTCCGTTTATTCCTTTCGGCGCAGCGACCGCCTCCATATTATATATTTCTATTCGAGTCTCACGTTTCTCGGTACGGTAACTCTCGTAAATCCGCGTATTTGATATCACGTTGATATCGATCGTGCCACAAAACGGGAAAATAAATATGCTTCGCGATTTGCCGGGGATCTCTGTCTCGCGTGATTTACAAGACCCTTTTCACGAGTCAACCCTCTTGACTGCTTGTATTTGGGAAGCCGTATCGAGCACGATCAAACGGGAGATACGGGTATACCTTACGTCGGCTCCAAGTTGCTCGAGAAACTAGAAAAAGAGTTCAAATGGACTTTAACGAAGGGAGTCGATCGCTACGGTCGATCGATGCGTTCCAGTCTTTTCTGGAAAATGAAAAGACCAGCAACAAAAGCTTCTGATGTTTCGCGTGTAAGTGCGATCTGCTCTGCCGAGCACATTGACGCGGCTGCTTGATTCGCGCTTGAAAAATAGGCCGACGTGTTGGATTTGCCTTTCTTTTTTTTTCGTTTATGTCGCTTTTCGAGAAACTCGATTCGTCGCTTTAAGGGAACAGGCTAGAACAGAGCGTTCGCTATTCACGGTATATCGAGCGTAAAATTAAAAAGAATGATAAAGCTGAACCATTCCTTCTCGAAATACAATCTTGATCGCGACGCACCGGACTACAAAGGAAATTTATTCTTGCAATAATGTGTTCACGTGCAATATGCATCCGAAGAAGACTCTCGAACGGTAAACATTCATTTCGCATGCAAGAAAGAATCATCGTTCTTCGTTAAACCGAATCCCCTGATTCCGTCGACGAAGTCGCGTACCAGTTCTACTGGTTCGCGCGTTTCCGGCGAATACCCTCGGTTTCAAATCGACTGAACTACGGGAACCTTTTTTTTAAACGATCTATATTAGGAACAGCCGCAGATTGCATGACTCGTTCACGAGGGACTAACACGCGAATACAGTCATCGACCCCCTTTGGCACGGTCACATTATACAATACTACGAAACTGACCTGAGTTAACGTTCCATTCGGTATACGTATATATTTATGTACGCGCGGCCACGAATGTGTACTCAGTCGCGAAAAAATCGATGAAACGGTGCACGAAATCACCCCAATGGTAATTTTCTGCCCTTTATATCCGCAATCTCGTTTCATTTATTACGGTGCTCGCCGCTCGCGCAATATTCTGCGCAAACAAGCCGATTAACCCGAAAGAAGCAGAGGTTCGAGTGGAACGCGTTTCACGATTATTTCTTTCGCGAAATAAAATCTTTCCACCGTTAAAGTCGAAATTTTTCGGTGCGGGAGATTGTTAAAAAATCCTTGATACCACGAGAAGCAAATTTCCTTCCACTAGCACGAGCACCAAAGGAACAATGAATTCTTTTATAGAGACAACATCCAAGAGCGCGTCTTGCATATCTATTCAACGGACGCGAATATCGAATATCACCATTTTTATAACGTTCGGAATGTTACGACCGTAACGTTTCATATTACCCTCTGTTTGATTTCGTTCTCGGGATCCTCAAATCCTTTCAAAGAGAAGGAATATACATATTTCTTTTTACCGTCGCCTTAAGTGAAAAACAAAACACCCCGCACAATTCGTATTCGCGACGAGAAGGAAATTTGATGGATATAAACGAAACGTTTCCCAAGGGTCGCGAAGTACCTTCAGAGGGTTCCCTGAAAATTTTGTATCTTCTATGAAGCCGTATACTAAACTCAACGTATATAAAATTCTTTTACGGATACTTCGTTTAGCTCGAAAATTTGATGTTATATATTTTCTCGTGTTATCATTAAACTACCCTTTCTTTTATACCATAATTCTTTCGCACTCTGTTTAAAATCACGTAGGAACGGAGCGTAAACATGCGCTCGTTCCAAATCGATCTTGAGTCGATCAAAACATCCTCCGATTGATGGCGTCGCGCAAGGGGTAACGCGGGAGCTTTCATCGATCGCAACCTCGCGATCGTAGGATCGTTAAATCGATTGTTAGATTCCAGTACCCTTTGGAAATAATCGTGGAAGACGATGCAGCAAGATGTTTGATCCTCGTTCAAAGTCTTGACCCTGTTTTTCAGCGGCCGCGGTACACACGCGTTTGGAAACGATCAGGGCGCGTGCGTATGCGGGTTACACGGTTTGCGTTAGTGTGTACTTATCAGCGTAGAACGACGTGTGTGCATGCACATAGAGGGAAACGTGGGTGTATGAGTGTATACCTTCAACGGTTTACCACATGTTGCGCCTTGGTGCGCGGAGCGCAAGTCAGCCAGGAGCCCGGGCCATCAGGATAGACAGAATCTCTCCCCTCGGCTCGGTCAGTTACGCGAGTACCAGCAAACGTTCCGCGTGTCTTCCGTTTTCTTCGCCGATGTCGCGATAAAGCCTCGCTATCTATCGTAACGGGACGAATTAATCGTTTTTTAACGTGTTCAGTGCGAAATTGTGAAGCACCCGAGCCGAAGAATAGGGAAATACGGTGCAGTGCTGCCGAGACGATGCGTACGATGCTCTGCCAGTGAGCTGGAACTTTTTTCTCGATAAGGTCTGTATTGGATGATTTACGATCATTCTTCACGCTCGGAAAAATTTATATAAACGTCCAGCAAGGGAAGCTCGGAGTAAATGTTACCGGAAAATGTTGCCGTAATTTGAAGATACTACACACGCTATACGTACTGTAACCATGAAACGTGAAACGTGCTCTCCAACTCTGACTGACCATCTGGACAACGAGATTAAAAGACGTTAATTTGGGAAAAATTGTGACGAAGATAACTCTACGATATTGTCGATTATGCTAGGAAAGAATTAATTTCCCATAAAAATTAATTATCGAAGATAACAGTAGTTGCGTATATTTGAATAAGTCCCTTTTGAATAGTACAAATAATTGTCTTTATATCGAAATTATAGTTTGATAAATGAAGTTTCAGAGAAGAGGATAAGCACGTAATGACCGTACCTTATGTCTGTCCTCTGGTCACACCTGTTACATTGCGAGAATCGCTATACGAGAATACTGATTCGTCTTACGCAGAAAACGAAGACAACGTGTTGTAATTTTCAGCATAAATTGAGACGAAAAATGTAGCTTACGAGAACCCCGTGCCTAGACGTACTTTTTTATTCGACCATCCTTTTTAAACAAAAAGTAGCGAATTAATTAAATCCCAGCTTAATCTTTCAACGAGCCCTTTCATAAAAACCCACGAGCTAATTACGTTTACCAAGATAAAAGTTAGTGTGTGTACATATAAAAGCTAGACGATGAAAAGCAAAAATTACGTAGTTAAAAAATTTCAACGTCCAAATTTAATAATTGTATAAATGTATAATTTGTATTGCTTATTAATCTAGCTATTTCCTAATCATAAATTGGTCGCTCGTCGTTTACGTCTCACCTCGTTCCAGTTTTTCTTTTTGGTCGTGTCGATGAAATACCGTTTTTCGTTTCCAAAAATAGTACAAGCAAGATTGATTTTATAACAAAATTTTAGTCCACTGTTTCGAACGTGTTTCAGCACGAAACGGTATTTAATTAGTATTTCGGTATTAATGAAACGCGCGATTATACATGTTGCTGCAATAATGTAAATGAACTATTCTACTAATAATGGTGTTATAATGATTACACGCGCATATATAATGATAATACGAATCGGAAGGTAATTCGAGCGAAAGAAAGGTATAACTTCGTTGGATTAATTCCAGAAATCACAAATACCATCGAACAGCGCGAGTAACTATAGACCTGTCTAATATTGAAAAGCTATGAATATCACCGACTTCCAGATTTCTCAACGAGTCCTGTATTTCTGCAAATGTATTTCTCTGCATCTACTCGTAAAAGTGCACAGAAGAAAAACGCAAAAAATTTAGAGTCAAATGTTGGTTCGGAGCGCGATTCGTGAATATCTTATGAAATCTAAAAAAGAACTAAATGGTCCCTCTGAAGAGGAAGAGAAAAGTGTACGTAAATCAGAATATTAAACTGAAAAAGAATTCAACGTGTGTTCGATTCAAATCGTTTAAGTACCTCGGAAACGTGTTAAATGAAAATTACCGTCTAAAAATAGTTCCATCCGTGACTTTTTATAGGCTGCGACCATCCATCATTGCAACTACCGTACTACACGCAATCCTTTATTTTCATTGGACCACTGACCTACCTATCGAAGACTTGGCCGTTTTTCTCGCGAACACGCTTCCCTGTTTAAAGCACGCTTCGTGCATTGTTCTTTCGAATAACAAACGACCTGAACTTTTATATCTGAACACGTGCATTTACATCTCTAACCTATATCTTGGGAGTAATTGACCCAAGAATACTGTACGCTTTCGACTAAAATAAAGCTGTACTCCTTTTCTTGTTTCTCTTTTGCAGATTTTAGCGCCTGACAGCGCGGCGGGGTGGCCCCAATGCCGGTCAGGAAGGGCCTCCTCGCCCCACAAAATACATTCTTAGATACTATCGCCACACGTTTCGATGGAACCCGTAAGTATCACCATTATACAGTTTGTTACTTTTTACCGTCGATAGATTCGTTTAAAAAGAGTCATTCAAATTCGCGTTCAATCATCCGTGTACCGAGTTTCAAAAATATTCTAACCACGACCGAGAGTTTTCTTTTCGAGTGAATCGTGCGGCGCACAAATAAAGCAAAGCACCGATAATATTCCGATCACGTCACAGAAACGCCTCGCCGCGCTACGCCGGCAAAGGTATTCGCGTAAACTTTCTCGGGGTTGTAAAAGAACGAAACGTAATGTCGCTGCCATTGGATTAGCCCCAATCCCATCGTTTCGAAGACGACCCTCGTTTGCGAGTCGGCGAACGGAACGATTTGTCAATAGAAAAAAAGTCTTGATCGATTTCAACGGTCTACGAGGAAAAACAAGATTCCTGGTAGAAAATTCGTGGTATCCTCTCGTTCACCTTTAACGACACAATTTTTCGTCGAAACGCACGGATTTAAGAGGGTCGCGATCCCGTAAAGAGTTCGATTCGATCACGATTTCTGTGCTCGTTCGTCGTCGTTGCTCCATTCGACGCAACATCTAATACAATTCGCCGCGGACACGCGTCGCTATTTACTAATCGCTCGACCAAGCTACAAATTAATACCGAAACGTCTCTCGACACACAATTGCCGTGCAGGTTGACGTCGTCGCTAATTCGTATATCAGTCCTATTGGCCGCAACGTTAACAACGCGCGAAACCAAATTGTCTGAGAGGCAACAGTACCCAGATGTGTTTACGTCCAAACAATTATATCGTAAATGTACGTTGAGCTTAACGGCACACGTACACACACATGTTGCGAAACGGTGAAAAGAACGATCAAATCGAGATCACCTACTCTAACACGGGGTATCCATATCGCCCTTCCCTCGGGGCACCAACTTAGTTACCTTCAACCTTTCCCTTTATGGCGAAAACGTAGTTTTGGGTCTACAGAAAAAGTAATCCGAACTGGAGTTGTCGATAACACCGTGACGCGATATCCTTTCTTGATTTTCGATAATGAAATAGTTGGCACGAGATCTACCGGTGGAAACCGATAAACCTCGAAAATTATGTACGTTTCGCGTCGTTATAAACATCGTTCGTAAACCTGCGCGAACGTTTAACAGAGACTATCGGTGTATTAAATTCCGCGCTCGTTATTTCAATATTTGAATAACCTTTTCGAACCGAATGTCCCAGAGGTATCGTTTTAGGTGAGATTTCACCAATAAATATCAAGTTAGAAAAATCCAATAATATATACCCGTTGTAAACTACGAACCAAGAAAAACTAATTACGAGAAAGGGGCTACCAACCGTCGTTATCGTCGTCGTAAGAGAATTACAGCGAAGTTATGTCCTTGGGAAGTAATGGAATCGCAATTTTTTTTTTTTGCTCCTTCGAGATGTCGACGAAATTATATTCGTAGCCAACTAATCTCCGACGGTATTTTAATTTAATTGGGAGATTAAAATCGGAAGTATTTACTTTTAAGTAACTAATTTGTTTCATGCATTTTCATAAGCTACTTAAAACTCTTCGCGTGTTATAAGGCAGACTTCTTCGCGGTCGCATATGTGCGTACATGTATCGTGACCGTTGCGTAACATCGTATTAACATTTACGCAAGAATTAATTTCGTGGAAGCACCTGGTCCACGATGTTAAGACGGTCAAAGCTTCTTAATTTGCATCGGAAAATTTGATCGCCGATCGCTGGCGTCCTGTACTCGCTTCTGTAAGACTATTAAAATTTTCTTAGATAGTTAAAATTTGCTCGGGACTGTATCAAGTGGAGTAACTTGGAATACCGATGGAGCACTTGCGAGACGGTCGTTTTAGCGCGATGTCTGGTCGTTTGAAGGGGATCCCACGACCCTAGAATTATGCTATTACGCTCGATCTTGGTGTTCCATCAAATACTCCAGTTTCCCTACAAACTCGATCGCTCTCGAGGCAGTACAAATATCGTTTACCTCCTTTTGCGTGAAAACAACCTGGAAAAAAGGACCATCGACGTCGGGAAACGAGTATCGAGCTGACACGATAACGATGTCCCGTGTAGCTTCGCGCGGAAGAAAAAGATCACGTAATTAGGTGAATGCAGAATTGATGATTTCGCGATTCAATTTTTCAGTCGCGGTATCGATTCGCTTGGCTTCGTTACGCGAAACAACGGTGAAAGAAGCGAACGCGTATACCTGGAAGTTCGTGACCTTTCCATTGTGAACACTCTGATTTCGGCGAGAGAAAAGGGAAATAATTGCTCGTTAACGACGCCCGAAGTACTTATCCGTGGATATTTTTGGCGCTCTCTTTCTTCGAGCGTGTTTGGCGCATCGCCAACTGGGCTAAAGGATGGTTGACGACTGTTCAAACACTCGTTTGTCTTTGCTGACCAAGACTCATGGAGGACCAATTGGAATATTCGTTTTCATCGCGTCTCTTACGCGCCTATTTGTGATTTCTTTTTCGTCTTCTTCTCGTCGAATCGAAAAGCTTGATGGAAAACGTCGCGGACCGAATGCAAATTACGTCGGGAGAAGAAGAGTGCCGCTCGATCGACGAAACTAATTTTCCAGCAGAACAAAAACGTGGCCGTTAGCGTACGGAAAACTTTAACGCAACTTCGAATAATGCGAACTTCTTCGCGACGTCGCGTTTCAGAACCTGAATAGGGTCGGTGGCGTACAACCCCTTGTTCGTGACCTATGAATTCCAAGCAATACGTTCTCGCTACTTTTACCCCTCGAGTCCGACGACCCCAGACGAATCATAGAATATTAATTTGAAATCGGCGCCACGAACATCGATTTTATTCCGTTTAATCTTGACAGGTACTCGCGATCTGACGATAACATATAAGCGGAGGAAATTGCAGTAATAACACGGCACGGGTTCCTAGAAAACAAAGCGTTAAACGGAACAGAATTAAATGCAATCGTCTTAACTCATAATAAATAGAAGTAACGAACCATGCAACTAATATAGAATTAGCTTAAGGACTTATATAATAGACATGTACAAATATATGTATAGAAGACACGTGCCAAAAAAATATGTTCGCGAAAAGAACCTACATGTCTCAAAGATTAAACGGTGACAAAGCGATTTGTAAGTTTCCTTGTCAAACAGAGGGTCAAAAGTCTAAGCCTCTCAAGGAACGAGAACAAATGTCTTAATTTTTTATTTTTACCCTACCGGGTTTTATTTCTTGCGCGATGATCCAATATCTCGAATACGCGTACAACTTCAATGGAACGTAAATGGCTCTTATTTCGTGACCTTAATTCAAGATCATTAATTTCTTCTTAATGAACGATCACGGCGTACGCTTTCCCCAATGTCTTTTCAACTCGTTTCCACGCGCGTAGGTAGTACGTTTGTTTCGATTCTACGTAGAAATTTTGGGGTATATTATTTAAAGTATTAAATACAATACGGCGAAAGCATATGCCCACGCGAAACGCAGTAAACTTGGATTTTTATTGTACGGTCTAACCGACTGTGGGATAGATTAATTTTTCTTCGGTGCGCCTATTAAACTTGGTAATCCGAGATTTATGGTATATTCCTGTTATTGGAAACGTTGAAGGAACCGAACAATACAAGCGACGCCATATATCTGTACTTAATCCTCGAGGCATAGAATTTCATTTTGACTCTATAATAATAAAATCTACTTTCCGTTCCTATTGAAAAAAATTAGCCTACCAAGAGAGGCTAAGAAAGACTGGACGTCGAGAGGAGCATGAAAAGGGAGTAAGAAAGGTCAAGAAATCTCTTTACACATACCGAATGACCTAATTACTCTTTCCGGTTCGCTCTCAACATTAGCGTTGATTTCATTCCGCTAAAATGTAGAAGAATCGATAATTACCGCGTTCTACGAAACGAGAAAACTAGGACAATTTCGCAAAGGCATCCAAGGAACTCGGGGGAAAGAAAGGGAATGTTATCGTCAAGAAACGTCCAATTTATTTGCCGCTGTCTCTAGAGAGCAATCTCTGGGTAAAACAAAGTTTTTTTTCGAAAACCTTTTCGCTTTTTTTACCTCCACGTGCTATCGAACAGGCAATTTTCCTACGCAGCTGACGCACCGCTAGTTAAAGCTATTTCACCCAAGTAGTAACGATCAAGCAAACGTCAGCCCAGAAATCGGAACGGCACGATGAATCGCCAACGTTTCGCGGTTAACGTTGTGCTTTGTTTCGAGTTAACGAACGAGAAAGGAATACGCCAGCGAATACGTATGCTAAGGAAAGTTGACTAACTAAGATACAACTAAATTAGTAGCGACTCGATATCCCTGGCGGTTTCAAAGTGAAAAGTCGACTGCCGGTTCTCGAATCGCTGTATACCTGTCACGACATATATTTATCGACGATACAACCTCGATGCACTTGCAACGAATTCAAAGCTGCATATCACTATGTGACCTCAAAACTTCTGCTAATAGTTACCGACACCGCAAATAAATGCCAGAGCGACGAACGTTCGCAACAGGCTTTTGTGTCAGACCTAGTGTTTGTAACGCAGAGAACGCTGCACGCGTTACAACTTGTAAACGAATATTTGTATTTTTCCTTTTATTTACCCCTTCTCCGGCAAACTGACGCGCGATAAAAAAATGTTCCATCGTCACTATTATGATTTGACATTTTAATCAGTACGTAACCTCCCGCAATTAATACGTGCTTTTAGGTAACGCATATTATACCGCAACGAAGGGGTTGATGCGACGGTTTTTGAATGTAGAGCCCGTACAACGTAGATGTATCTACGTAAAACGTACACAAGCAATTCCCTTGCGTACTGAGAATTAATTGCAGCGCAACATCGTAGGACGTTAAATTTCATAATCCCCGCAAGTGAATAAACGTATAGGTTGTCTAGAAACTGCGCTCAAAGTTTGGATTGATGCTCGATGTTGGTTAAATTCGTGGCAGGAACACGCGAATCCCTGTATGAATCAATTTGTGAAATC